CCTCAGCTTTCTTTAAAGCAAAATGCCTTGCTTTATGTGAGTGATGTTAATTTAATTACATCTTTTAGCAAATACGGTTGTGAGCACTTACGATTACACTGCGAGAACTTGTTGGCAATGAAGAATAATTCATGCTAAATTTCTATAGGAATCCTTATAGCTGCTTCTTATTTTATACTGTAGATTTATTTTCCAGATTCTAATTTCCAACACTTTCACCATCTGGTGAGCAGATTTAGTAAAAACAGTCCTCAAATACGTCATGTCTTAAAATAGCAGGTGAAAGCTTGATCTTTTAGAGAGAGATTGCCAATTCCAGTGCCTACTCTAATGACAGTAGCTAATGTAAAATGAAACCTGATAGTTTTTGTTAGAAAACATCAGAACATGTGTTCCACTTTTAGCTCCTCTGAGATGATTTTTGTTTGGCACTTTTGCTGTCATATAAATAGTTGGAATTTTTTTTAATCAGGTATAGACATATTTTCCTGCCAAGTACATAAAAAGCTAATAAGAACTTGCACATGTTATGAATGCTGTAGTACAAAATTTTATATTGAAAAGAAATTTTGTCTTCTGAATAACTCACCCTTCTGCTTGGTACTCTTTTCTAAAAAAATACCTGCTAAGGAGGTAATGTGCAGGTTAAAGAAGAGATTGCAGTGATTCAGTGTGTCTGTATGGTTGTATTTGTCTCCAGAAAACCTGTGTATAGAGATGAAAGCATTATCCGCGTGGTGCCTGAGGAAATCTGTCGAGGGGGGGATGTTTTTCACGTGAGAACTCCATGTCTTGCATGGCTGAGCATCTTTGGCAGTGCCCTTTCCTTTTTCCACTGCTTTGGTGAGCCCTGCAGTGCCTGGGGGATTCCACTCTGTTCCCCTTTAGCAGCTGCGGAAGGTGGTGAATCATTTTCTTGTTTCAGTCTGTCACCTGAATTAAGCAGAGTTCCTGAAAAAAAAAATTCATCGTTCCTTCCCCTTAGGTTCATAGAAACCAAGTAAGCTAGAAGTTCATAGGCAACTGCACAGGAATTAGGTAATGTTAAACTAATGTCTTTAGGTTGAAAAGTTGGTCTTTGGCTTCTTCTTTGTGTTGCTGCGTAGGTTTTGTCAGACCCAGTATGGTGCAGAAATGCAGAACTCCAATTAAATAGTAAAAACTCCAGTATGGGAGTTACTGGTCAGCAAGAGTGTTCAAGATTATGCTATATGTTCAATGAACACATTATAAAATGGGTGTAGATTTTCAAAGCCAGACTGAAATACCTGTTTGTTAATTATTAAAAATGTCCTGTCTTTAAAAAATACAGCTTTGTTGGAGTTTCTGAGATTATTTTTGTCACAGTTTTAGGAAACTTCTGTACAGACTGAGTCTGAAGGTTATGAAGAAGTAGATGTAAAAAACCCAAAGCTGCAGAGTGACCTTTTAAATTTTTTTTGTGCCTATGGCTTAAGTGCCAATGTGTTTAATAACTTGTGCTCTAGGCACTGCTGTAGTGCAGATATTTCTCAAAATGGAGAATTGCAAACTGCCATCAGACAAATGCAGTGCATTGGGTTATTGCAGTGTTAGCAGTTATTGGTGTGTTTTCCTTACAAATAAAAAGGCAAACATTTATTTGTCATACAAGTATGGTGTGCTATAAACATAGTTATGTACAGCCATATAGCATAAGTTATATAAAATTACAGGACAAGCATTACAGGGGGAGATAATTTGGGAACTTGAATGTTGATGAAAGAGATTTTTTCTCATGGGCAGCCTCCTCTGAGAGTATTAATTTAGTGTACAGCTTCATTTTAAAATGAATAACATATAAACAAAATAATGCTTGCTTTGCCACATACTTGTATTTTATTTATGCGTGCACACATGGTCCACTCTAATTAAGAAGAGCTCTTTATGGTTTATTTATTTGTTCCAGAGAGGCTGCTTAATATTTGAGAGAAGCAGTAACAATGTCTGACCTTTGCAGTGGCTGTGTTAGCGATGAGATGGGTTTTGCAGGAGCCTGCAAGAACAGTAAAAGAACAGGTTGATCTTTTCCTCCATTTGCTGGAACATGCTCAAGAGACCTGAAAGCACAAGTGGAAAAATCCCCACTAGTAAGTGGTTAAAGAGTATTTTCTTGTGTTTTCAGATCTCTGGAGAATGTTACTGGCAGGCTGAGGGCAAGGGTTTAAAACTTTGTTTCTTTGCATTTACTGTGGTCCATATTTTATGACCAAACCACCAGGGTAGTATTTCACTTGGTGAATAATTGTTTGTTTGTTTTTTATGCCAAAATAAAGAAAATAATGTAAATGAGGTGGACACCCATCCAGGTTTTAAGTTCTACAGCGTGTGATTAGGCATGCATGAGTCGTGTGGTGGTCTTGTAGTGAGATTTGTCACTAAACTTCTAACAGTATATCTTATATGTAGATGCACATTTTATTGCCTCTCCCCTTTTTATGGCCTTTGCTTAATACAGGTTCCTGCCTGTTTTTACAAAAATATCCCCTGGGCGTGTGCCGTGGCCAGGAGGTCAATGGTGGCAGTTCAGTCCCCCACTCCTTCCTCTTCCTGCCTTTCCCTGGTGGTCTCTTCTCCCAGTTCCGTGCTCTCCCTCGTTGCATGTTCGAGGTTCTAGGGTTTATTTCTGATAAGAATCAAGTTTATTGTGTTTTTTGTTTTTTACTTATAAATGCTGATACCATAGATTTAAAAAAGCAGAAAAAAAAAAAGGAATGGAGAAACAGATACCTGTGTGTTCAGATGGTAACATTGCTCTCTATGAAGCAACGGAAATTAAATGTTTGTTGTATTTATAAAAGGATTTTGGTTAATACAGGCATTTGTTATGTGTTATTAGTAAAAATGATGTTTAACTGACTTCTGCATGAACGTGATCATTTCTTTCTTGTTCTTGTGTGGAAGCTCTGTGTACGTGTACATTCAAAGTTAATATTCTCATAATGGAAGATGCAATTTGTGGTCTATTCAGTCAGTCATGTTTTTGCTAATTAATCATGAATCATCTGCTATTGGAACAGTATCTTTTTTTCTTTAATTAGGTACGGGTGCATCTTTGTTAGAGCTCTGCCTGCAGAACTCTGAGTGCTGCAGCATATGTCATTCTTTTCTATATCAGTAGATTTTATGTCATTCCTTTTATTTGCTGTTGTCATTGCATGTGTTTTGCTCTGTCTTTATAAATGTAAAAATCTCCTTTCAGCATACAAACATACATGGTAGTTACCTCAAAGTACTGGTGCACTGCATAGGTTTATGCATTATGCCTTTGAAGGGGAACAGTGGCTGTTGTCTTGCTAAGGAATGCAAGCTAATGGTATTTGCTTCTTCCAGCCAAAGTGATTGCAGATACTTACCAACTTTTCCCTTTCCTCTTTTTTACATGCTCAAAATGCAGAATCATTAGGACTAAGTAGCCTTCCAGAGTTTTCTTTTTGTAAAAAGAGGATGGAGGCTTGGAGAAGTACTGAGCTATCACTCACCTTGTTTTTTAGGAAAGATTATTCTTTTTCTGTGTTGCATAATAATTTGTTTAGTTTATAAGTTTTCACCTTCTCCCCTTTTTGCAACATGTTTAAGTCTGAGAGCAGTCAGGCTTCAGTGTATTTCAGACACCCACATTCATAAATCCCCATCAGATTATTCCTGTGAATGGACTGCTGTAGCAGCAAAAAGGGGAAAAAAAATAAAAAAATAAGATGGGGATGGGGGGAAAGGCATTTTCTGAAGCTGTTTGTGGTAAAAATATCAATGGAAAATAACTGCGTAAAGTGATTTTCTTTTCTGCTGTTACTTCTGGTAGTGTAAGAGAAGAGTGCTTGGTTTGAACTTTAAATACTCAGTGTGAGTTAAGGGTTTTTGAAGTCTGCTGATAGTGAAATTAGAAGAAAACTGAAGCTAACAGATATGTTGATGTGCTATGTTGGGGTTTAATGTCTTATGATGGGGCAAAGCTGCCAGTAATACACTGCACAGGGGACAAGACCCTTTGGTGGGGACAGGGTTGCACTGCAGATGTGACCAGCTGAAACTGGCCCTGTGGCCATGTGTTGTCCCTGCTTGGAGCTCCAGAACAACCTGACCCTCTGGCAGCTGTGGCAGGGATCAGGATAATCACCCTGTGGCTGGTGAGGTGGGCACTGCCTAATGCCACTTGCACTGAACTGTGAGGGAAAGGGGGTTAAGCTGGGATAATGTTCCAGCCTCATCCTGGCAACTGACAGAATCACCTCCGAGCCTTCTTGTTCCAGCTGGCTCCAGGAGAGCAGGAACGTACAACTTCACACCTCTGACCTTACATGAGGACACTATGCAGCTTGCTGGTTGCTGCCATGTTGCCAGGACAACATTCATATTTTTCCATTTATTTCCAACTTCAGTCTGATGCATCCTCTGTCCTGTCCATGCTGGAATGATCTATTCAGCACTGGTGGGTTTCAGATGTATCTTGTGTAGCAAACTATTACTTATACAAGGAAAACATCTTACATCCCTCTACCCAAAGGCATTAGAGAAAGCTGTGTCTTGGATTTAGAATTTTAATTGGAGTGTATCTATGCGTGTCCATGCACAGATATTAAATGTTGTGCTTGTTTGTGCATTTTATGCTGTTAATGGAAGGGGTGTCAATGTTCTCTAGTTCTACCAGAGCAGTTTAAGATCTGTTCCCTCCTTTTCCTGATATTCCCGTGTCTTTTGGGGGATTTGCTTGAATGTATCTACCTGTAATTATGGTCTAAATACTCCTCTCAGGTTTTTATAAGCATGGATTACTTCTTGTGTGTGTTAATAAAATATCTTGCAGAAAACATGCACTTCACTTGTATCTTTGGGAATCTATGTACAATTTAAACCACAAATTGTAAGAGGCAGTAGAAGATCTTTGGTAACATTGTTTTGCAGCAAAGATGTGTTTTGAAATGTGTCAGTAATGTGTCTTCTGTAAAGAGTGACCACATATTTTTTGGTTTTTTTCCGTCTAGCTGTCCCATTTCCTCCAAGTCACCGTCTCACAGCTAAGGAAGTGTTTGATAATGATGGGAAACCTCGTGTGGATATCTTAAAGGCACACCTTATGAAAGAAGGGAGACTGGAAGAGAGTGTCGCTTTGAGAATAATAACAGAAGGAGCTTCGATTCTCCGCCAGGAAAAAAATTTGCTGGACATAGATGCACCTGTTACAGGTTAGTGTGGAGTTATGGTGATGGAGAGGAATGGTTGCTGGCTGGGACATGTTTGGTAATGCATTCATTTATGTGGCTTCCTAAGGTGCTGAAAGGCAGCTTGAAAATCAGTTGTTCTCTCCCAATACTTGATTCACACTTTGTCTGCTAGCACTGGATAATGGAGGCCATCAAGCAGCTTGTAATTTAAAGGAAAGGATTACATCTGCTGAACCCTTTCTGTTTCTAAGGCAGAGAACAATTTTAGTCTTTAGGAGAAAATTAGAACTACTTTCTGAAACTTGATAAGTTACCTGGCCTTTTGCACCAGGTATTAATTCTGTAATTTTAGAGATGTTACTTATCATAGTAGGACTGTTCAGACTTACAGACAGCATTGAGCTCTGGATGTCATGTAGTTTGACAAGGCTGAGTGTAAGGACCTGTACATGGCTTGGGGCAATCCCAAGCACAAATAAAAGCTATGCAGACGATGGACTGAGAGCAGAGGTGATGAGAAGGACTTGGGAATGTTGGTGGATGAGAAGCTCAGCCTGTCTTGGCAATGTGCACTTGCAGCCCAGAAAGCCAGCAGTGTTTAGGGCTACATCAAAAGCAGCATGGGCAGCAGAGCAAGGGAAGGGATTCTGCCCCTCTGCACTGGTGAGACTCCACCTGGCCTGCTGCATCCAGTTCTGGGGCTCCTGACATACGAAGCCCATGAACCTGTTTGAGCAAGTCCAGAGGAGGTCCACGAAGATGCTCAGCATGCTGGAGTACTTCTCCTTTGCAGACAGGCTGAGAGATCTGGGGCTGTTCAGCCTGGAAAAGGCTTGGTGAGACCATACAGCACCTTCTACCTGAAGGGAGCCTACAGGAAAGTGAAAGAGGGAATTCTTATGAAAGCATATAGTGACAAGGCAAGGGGGAATGTCTGCAAACTGCTACATGGTGGGTTTAGATGAGACATTAGGAAGAAATTCCTTACTGTGAGGGTGGTGAGGCACAGGTTGCCCAGAGAAGTTGCAGATCCCCCATCCCTGGAAGTGTTGAAGGCCAGGCTAGATGGGGCTTTGAGCAGTCTGGTCCAGTGGGACTTGCCCTACCCATGATAGAGGGGCTGGAACTAGATGATATTTAAGGTCTCTTCCAAACCAGACCATTCAGTGATTCTGTGAGGGAATGATGGTGTAAGATTTACTGGAAATTTTAATTAGATGTTAAGGAAAATAAGAAGTGCAGAAAAAAAATTAGCAGTTTGTGTTGCCTGGGGGATTAATGAATTGTGCCGGTTGCAGAGCCCATCCTGCCCTTGACTATCAAACACTACCACCCACTCATTAATCCTCAGGAAATGCCTTATTTCTGAATTTCCTTTTCTAATTGTCTCCTGCCTCTGCCTGCATTCTGAATATATGAATGCATTTGCTCACTCTAATGTGTCTCCTCCCATATTTTGTTGTTGCTATTGGATATGAATGCATTTTTGACAACTAATTGATCTGCGGCATAGAAAGTTATCTGGGGGGGAAAAGATATCTAATTCCAGCCAGTTTAAACCATGAAGCCAAAGTATAAAACTTGGTTTAAGAAGTCAGGTCCTTTCATCACTTTTGCTTCTTGAGAGCCCTGATTAAAGTACAAGAAATAGTCATCTGCTGCAGAGGAAGTTTTTATTTACCAGTTTTTATTAGCAATGCTGGTAGCAGTCACCAAAAACCACACAGAAGTAATAAAACCTTCATTTTCAGGAAACCTTGTCTGAAACTGAGTGTAGTGTCTGGACTAGAATGATGCAGAATTTATTAAAGCTTGTAATTTTAAAAATTACATCCAACTAGAGGATTGTAGCTTGACCTGGAGAGGTAATGTGTATCATTTTTTATATAATAATTAGCTTGTCATGCTGCTGTACTGTTCTGATAGAAAAGATGTCAATCATGTTGCAGCTCGGATGAACAAAGAAAATAGAATGAATAAAAGGACCCTTAGATGACTGAGAATCAAGTTCTACAGGTATTTTTTTGACACTTCAGGATAAATGGAAGAAACTGTAGAGGTGCAGTACCCTTGTCCATGAATGAGTGGCACACACACAGAAAATTCTACCATTTTTTGGGTTTTTTTTCTTTTTTGAGTGTGATTTTTAATTCACTGAGAGATGTAGACTGTAGGAGGACAGCTCTGGTGTGCTGTGTCCCAGCTGATCTCCATAAACCTGTGTTTAATGTTCTCGCTCTCTCTCCCTCTTTTTTTATTTTTTCTCTTAATATTTTTTTTTTCTAAAATTCATTTAAAGGCATTGGAATTCTTCTGAATTATATTTTGGGGATTACTCTCCAGAAGTTTATCCCATTGTATAACACTGGTATAATACAAGTCTTTGATTCTTTTTTCAGTGAAGCCTACACCTTGCTTTGTTCCTGCTTTTGAAATTATTCTCATGTAGTGATTGTGATACTGCAGCATTCTTCAGGGTGGCTGGTAGCTACTTCCTTTTAAGCCAATGTAGGAAAGCTGGGCTCCTGATGTGTTTATGCAGGGTAGCTGAGAAGTGTTAATCTTCCGTATGAGCAAACATGAAAGCTGTAGTTATGAAAGTGATCATCAAAAGAAGGAAGAACTTAAATTGTGAGGGGGAGGTTGAGAAAGCTTGTGAGGCATGTTGCTGTGGGCCTGACAATTTTCTTTGTATGAGTAGTATGACAGCAGGTGACTGGATAAAGAGAATATCAATTGACTGATGATGTAGTGGAAGTGCCAGGTATACAGGCAGTCAGGAAATAGCTATGCAGTAGAGGAAAGCTTTTTTCCAACATTGGGAAGAACAAACAAAACCACTGATGGAGTGGATAAGAAAATAAATTTTAGGTTTCATACAAGAGAAGCAATCTTGTTGAAGAATGACAGTCATAAACCACTCATAAACCCCCCTAATATGGGTTCTTTGTGGGAGAGGCATTCATCTTTTAGAAATATATTTGTTGTTTGTTTATAAGATGGTGATCATCAAAAAGAAGAAAAATAGAAGCATGTAACTGCAGAAGTAATCACATTGTGGATTATTAGAGTGATATACTTGGATAAACATTAAAGAATATGAAAAATTCTTTCTTAAAGCCTTGTGCAGCCATCCAATCATTTGAAATTTCACTTTTGTTTATTTTAAGGGGTGATAAGATTGTCCTCAGAAGAAGTATCAGAGTTTTGTTTATAAGTAAAGTCATGTGCAATGAAGTGGGTACATATAAAGCCTGAATTTGAGCGAGAAAATGATAATTGGGCGCGAGTCATGCCAACAGCTTTAATGTGAAGTGCACAATCAATTATTTTGCATTTATGTATAAAACTTTGTGGTTAGCTGGAACCATAATGTGATTGCCATTTGAATTGATACATTTTATTTTCAAATTTTGCAAGGTTATTAGCCTTTTGAAGTATTCCTGATGAACCCATTTGTGAGCATAGCTCAAATTCTCATCATTTGCTCCATGCATACACGCATGCACAGCTCACTTCAGGTCTGGCTTACAGACATGGTGAGCTGTTCCTGCAGTTACACTGGGCTGCTGCGCATTGGGTAGGGATATGAACAGAGCCTAAAATAAGAGACTCCAGGTGCTCTGCTGTCAGTACTCTTCTTACATCTGGGAAGTGTTGAGGCAATGTTGTCTTGACTGACTTAATCTGTAACCTCTTGGAGAGATGTGAACTTCATTTGAAGCTTGTGTGTTTAATGAGGTTGATCTGCCACTAAACCACTATTCAGTGGAAAGCTCTCTTTGTGGCAGCCTTGGAATTTCCACTCCTGTATTATATTCTTAACAATATAATGACACATGGAGAAATTGGCTCATTTTAAATGTTTGGGTTTGTTTTTTTTTTTCCCAGAAGGCTAAGGAAGTATATCTCTGAACCACTCTGATGGCAGTATTCACTGAAGTCACTCTCCAAAGTACACTTGGGAATTCCAGATTTATAATTGACTGCGTAGCCTTATTACAGAGATTCATTACTATACAGAGTGATTTTGAGCAAGTGATACACACTGTCCTTTGTTTGTATGACTGACTGCATGGTTTTATGGGCTCTCACTTCCAAATCTAAAATACGCTGCTTGGGTACTGGCCATTCTTAACTGCATGCCAAGCATGTGTTCCTTTAACTTCAGTGCATGGGTGACTTTCTCTTTATAGTTAAATGTATACGTTCTTAGATGACACACATAGCTACAGGATAGACCTAGAACAGTAAAGTGATATATTCATCTAATATCTATCATTGTACATCTTTGCTTATACGTTTTAGATTATTTTCCTTGAGGATATTGTTAGATACACAGATCCTAAATGAAAATAGCATGGTACCTCTTGCACATACAACTGCATAAGTGAACAAACTTGTAAGATGTATATTGGTGCTTTAAGATAAGTATTTTTTCCCTGTTGATATCTATTTTAAAAGAAATTAACGTGTGCCCTTTTTTCTTGTCACATTTGACATATCTCATGTTTTGTGCTCAGTGTGCAGTCCTTTCAGATAGTTCTGCCCATCAGTACTAACAAGAGTGTCCTCTAGTAAACCAAGAACGTGAAAACCTATCTCATATACATCTTTATAAAACTCTGCTTTTTAGGATGTGTACTGAAGTGTGATACATTAATATTACCAAGGCAGCTGTCTGTGTACAGGTGTTCTCAACTCTGTGTAGACTGCCCCCAAGCAGTGTCCATGACAGTGGTTTCCGGCTTGGTGGCTGTAGTCAGGCTATGCGCAGGCACAGGGCCCAGCATCTCTTACTCCTTCGTTTAGAAAAAAATGGAAAATAGGTAAAAATGGCATATACTTTTGTTCTAAACCTTCACATGCTTCATTGAAGTCCTGATCATGCTAGCCCACGTGCAAAGCTTTCTGAACTGCCAGGTGCATGCAGCTTGGTAGGTGAAAAGAGGAAAGCATCGGGGAAGACAGAATGAGAGTTTGTTCTTGTAGTGTAGAAAGTGTCTCAGTCTCTGCAGAAC